TACACTTGGAATGCTGCATCCAGTTTTGATCACCATTATACAGAAAAGATATTGAGACTCTAGAAAGAGTGCAGAGAAGAGCAAGAAAGATGATGAGGGTACTGGAGGCTAAAACATATGAAGAATAATTGCAGAAATTAGGTATGCCTAATCTAACCAAGAGAAGGACTAGGGATGACTTGATAGCAGTTTTCCAATATCTGAGGGGCTGCCACAAAGAAGAAGTAGTTGACCTATTCTCCAAAGCACCTGAAGGCAGGACAAAAAGTAACGGATGGAAATTTATCAAACAGAGATCCAACCTAGAACCCATAACACAAGACACCTCTTTTATGATGGACTCTACCATTTAACATCAGAAATGCAATTTTGCAAATTTAAAAATTGTACTTGTCAACTGATTTTAAAACATTTTAATAATTAAAAAAATAAAAAATACTGCTGAATAATTAATTGGGTTGTAACTTCTCATTCTAAACAGTGATGCAATAGGTCAGGGGTGTCAAACTCGCAGCCCGTGGGCCAGATGCATCACATGTTGGCCACACCCATGCCCAGTTTTGCGAAGGGGGAAAAAGTTACAATACGTCATATGATGACACCATGACGACATGAATTTGACACCCCTGCAATAGGTAATGCTCCTTGGTATTAAAATCTAAAATCCTGCAACTAAGAGGACTATTACCGTGTTTCCCCCAAAATAAGATATCCCTTGATAATAAGCCCAATCAGGCTTTTGAGCGCATGCACTAAAGGCCCCCCAAAAAATAAGCCCTCCCCAAAACTAAGCCCTCCCCAAAAATATTTAAACGCATGCCCAGCTGGTCCCTGCCATTTCCTTTGGTTAGGGTCAGGGAGGCAGAGCTGGAAATCAGGTAAGACGGCAAGAGGAGCCCCGTCTTGCTCCATGCACCCAAAATAATAAGACCTCCCTGAAAATAAGGCCAAGTGCTTATTTCAGGGTTTAAAAAAATATAAGACAGGGTCTTATTTTCCGGAAAACATGGTACTAACCAGTAAGAGATAGCGACAGTGACAAAGCACAAGTGACTCTGGATCTACAGAGTACCATCAAAGTTTATCCTGCATACCACAACATCCTTTCTGAGTTGACCAAGCAGATAACCAAGTGATTACAACTGCTCATTTTATTATTTTTATTTTATTTTTCTTTTCTGCATCAAAAGAGTGCTAATTAAAGAATATAGCATATGGCCATCTGAAAGAAAGGATAAGCATAAGGCTATTCAATCCTAGACTAAATTATTGATCTAAACCACTGCTTTAAATGATTAGTCCACATACATTGTAGTCATAATATACAGAGCTGCACAGCCAGAGGGACAGATGGAATCTTCTTTATGTTTCCGTTCTATCATACACAGATGGATCAATAGGTAGTCATTGCAGGCAGATAAATCCCATAGATCATGTTTGAAGGAGGTCATAAAATCAAGTTCTCCAAAATGCTGTACAAAGAGCAAAAGAAAACAATTTTTTCCCCAACGAGGTTCCCTAAATTAGGAACTGGCCAAGACTTTTTCCATCAGTTTTCTCCTCCTCCAGACAACCTTGTGTCCTCCTGATATGCCAGAGCTACAGTTCCCACAACTCTGAGTCAATTCTTAAAGAAGTCAAAACTACAATTCAAAGCAGGGCTATTATTGACAGAATACTTTGTCATTGCAACTAATTTGAGAATCAGTAAAGTGTGGCAATAGAATGTTGGGTTTAAACCAGAAACATCCAGGTACAATTTTTAGTCTGGCAAAATTGGCTTGGAATTCTGGGGTGCATAATCGCAGGAGTTTTGGGGAGCACCAAGCTGGGATAAATATATTTTATTAAGGTCACGGGAACTGTCAGGTCTCAAAGGGTGCTATTTACTTTGTATTATCAGAATCGGTCTCTCAATCTGTTCATGAAAGAATGTGGAGGCTTAAAGATGAATTTACTCTGTTCACAAACCATGCAGCCAGCATTATGAAAGTAAGAGAGGGGAATAGAGATTGGAAAAGGCAATATGAATTATAAATACAAATAACCCCTTGTGTTTTCCTATTCAGTGGTGCAGAATCAATACAAATTCTTTTTGAACCTGAATACAGTGTTCAGGGTTACCTATCTCATCATACTTCCAGTATCATTGTCTACAATGATTGGTTCAGTAAAAAACTGTTTAAAACAGGAGGAGAGATGGGTAAATGTTCTACATTTCTACATTATTTTCTGGAAGGATATGACTGGAAACAGTAGGTTGTGTCTGCTTTGAGAGAGTGGGAGGGGAGATCGGTTTTAAGTTAGTATAGAAAGTAATTGTCCATCCCACGGACACATTATGGCTGGAACTTTACTGTATTGTTTGAAATCTCAGCATGTTATATGCATCCTGCTATCATATTAAACCATAGTACTATGGACATAGCATAGGATGTATATAGCAATTGTGTTTTGTTAGCCCAGGTTTAGGGTTAAGCATGTTGTGCAATCCTAATTTACTCATTTTATATGGACATTGAAGAAATGGACATTTCTATATTTAAAAGCTTTGGAAGAAAAGCAGAAGGATAAGGATTAAATTCTGAACCAAGGTAGTATGTGGACAGACATATTTTATCTGGACTTAAATTTCAGATAAAGGTAATCCTTAATTTACAACCATTTGTTTAGCAACTCTTCCAATTTACAACAGCATTGGGAGAAAAAGTCTTATGACTAATTGTTGCACATTGCAGAATCCCCATAGTCACATGATCGCAATTCAGATGCTTGGCAACTGACACATATTTTTGGCAGTTGAGCATCCTGGGGCCACAAGATCACTCTCTGACCTTCTAGGAGGCTTCCAACAGCAAATTCAATAGGAAAAACTGCAATGATTGTTACAAAGGTGGGACAATCAAGAGGCAACTGGACTTTCTGCATGATTTGCTTTACAACTGTGGCAAAAAAAGAAGTTCCTGTCCTAACTGTGGTTGTAAGTCAAGAACTATCTGTACAAATCATATTCTACCTCCATAGAGGGAAGCACTTGCTATACAATTTATGTATTTGCACACTTGCTTGCTTGAAGCTTTTCTAGCTTACCCCAATCTTGAAAGACTTTAGGCAGTGAAGACCAAATCAAAAATTCCTGTAAAGCAGCATAAACTAAACTAATACATTACATTTATAAATGCCCAGCTGTTGTGGTGCCCTAATCAATCTAAAACAGGGGTGTGAAAGGGCTGCATCAGGGTTGTATTTGACCTCAGGGAGCTGGGGTGGGTGTGGCCGGGGTGGGCGTGGCCAACTGGATATCACTCATGTCAGGGCACCTGTGGTGGCCGGAGTGCTCTGCCAGTGAAAACAGGCTCTTGAGCTCCATTTTCGTCTCTGACAGCCTCCTGCAACCTTCTGCCAATGAAAATAGAGTTCAGGAGGGCTGCATGCAGCCTTTGTGAGCTCCATTTTCACTGGCAGAGGCACCGCAGGCCAATCCTTTGCTGTTACCAGGACAGCCTCATGGGTCAGAGCTAAGCACCCTCATTGGCTGGATCTAGCCCCCAGGCCTTGAGTTTGACACCCCTGGCCTAAAACAAAGGTTGAATGGAATAGGCCTCTTTCACTTGATTTAGATCGCAAAGAGAATTGGAACTGCACATATCTGTAGAAGACAATCATTTTACATTGTAGGCAATATTACAAAAGATCTACCAACTTTTACCTTGCCTGGAGAGGGATTCTCAGCAGGCCCTTTCCAGATTATTGGCAGATTCTTTTATGGCAAGGCAAGAGTTGATGTGACTTAATGGTGGAGTGTTAAAGGCAACAACTGAGACTGTGAATTGGTCCTAGAAACCTATTGATAATCAGTGTACCAACTTTAAACTGGATGTTATTTTGAACTGGTGGTATTGTTCCATCATTAATCCTATTACCACATGTTGTGTCACCTGCAGTCTCTGGAATATCTGCAAAGACATTGGAGAATACAAGGGCTTGAATGCATCTATCACAGAATGGAATTGACCTCAAGACCCTGCCCCAACCATTGTTGATGGCCCAGAATAATGCCATGGTGGAATGTTTTTGAAAGGCTTAGTAGACTGAATGGCTTTGAAGGGCTTAGTAGGACCAAGAGGAGCACACTCCCTCAGAACTCGGTCCTGATGGTCATTCTCCCAGGCAACTAATGTCATTTCGGTCCCATGAACAGACCTGAATATTGATTGAAAAGAATCTAGATTATCTTGTTTCCTAGATAATCTAGATTCTTCTGAGCAGGTAGCTCCTCATTGCCTTCTCAATTACTTTCTTAAAGAAAGGGAAATTATAAATTATAATTGCAAAAAGATGATCAAATTATCAGAGTGAGTTTCTTTAAAAGAGAGCCCATCTGTATCAGAGCAGGCAACATTATGCCCCCACTCAAACATTAATTATCTCCTGGAATCATTCATTGACATTGACTATAAGAGCATTACTGGATTAAAGCAGATGACTGTATAGTCAGTCCAACATCCTGTTTTATGTGATTGCTAAACCAGATGCCTGTGGGAAGTACACCAGTAAGATATAGCTATTTTCCCAGGAGATGGTATTCAGATCCATGTTCATGGTGACCTTGATCCTGGTTGTAGTATACAGCCAACTTGTCTTGTACTGATTAATAAGCTTATTTTCTATAAATTAGTTTAATCCCCTTTAAAACAATGTTTATTAGCAGTCAGTATTGCTTCTTGTGGTAGGGTAATAATTTAGCTATGTGTGTAAAAGTTATTTTATGCTATCTATTGTAAGCCTTACAACACTCGTTACAACACTCAATAATCCACCTGCTTAAAGAAAGAAATTCTTCTTATCCATATAACCAGGTTTTGCCAAACTGATTAAAAAAATAATAACTCAATCAAGATTTATACCAATACATTTGAACTTTTGTGTGTACGTTTTGCACTAGTTCCAGTAATGTTAGTGGGCTTTTTTTTTTTTTTTTGCTTTTTTTTTCCAAACAGATATAAGCAGTGCTGAAGTAAAGGAGAACCGTAACATTGGCAATTTAGAAGATCATTCAGTTACTTCTAATGAAAGATCAAGAGTAGCAGCTTCCAGGGTTAAAAGAAAAAGGCCTCTAGAAGAGGGCAACAGTGGACATTTCTGCAAATTTCAGCTCATCTGCAAGAAGATCTCATGGACTGTAACACCAAAGAATGCCCTGGTTCAGCTACATGAACTTAAACCTGGTTTACAATATAAAATGATTTCCCAAACAGGCCCTGTCCATGCCCCAGTATTTGCAGTTGCTGTGGAGGTTAACGGACATACATTTGAAGGCACTGGCCCAACAAAAAAGAAAGCAAAAATGAGAGCTGCTGAACAAGCCCTCAAATCATTTGTGCAGTTTCCCAATGCATCTCAAGCTCACTTTGCCATGGGAAATTGTTTCAACCCATCTACGGACTTTACATCAGACCTAGAAGACTTCCCAGACACTCTGTTCAAGGAGTTCGAACCATCCGCACACAATAAAGAATTCTCAGTCTGCACCCCGGTTAATAACGAATTGCTTTCTAAGGCCTGCCGTCAAGGGAAGTTGCTCTACCACACGTTGGACTTCATGGGCCACCCTAAACAAAACAAGTACAAGATGGCGTCCACCGCCAAGAGTGAAAAGAACCCAGTGGTGTTGCTCAATGAGCTGCGGTCTGGACTGAGGTACGTCTGCCTTTCGGAGACTGTGGAGAAGCAGCATATCAAGAGTTTTGTGATGGCTGTGAGAGTGGATGGGAGAACATTTGAAGGCTCGGGACATAGCAAGAAGCTGGCTAAAGGTCAAGCAGCACAGGCTGCGCTGCAGGCCCTCTTTAACATTCGTCTGCCCAGTCACATTCCCAGCAGGAGCAAATGTAATCATTTGCCACAGGTGAGAGCTCTGAGGTAGCCACCACCGAGCTGAAGGGATTCTGTAAAATTAATGTGATTTCTTGTGTTCTAGCCATAAATTGTGACTTTATCAGAATGCTTGCCCAGAGGGTGCTGTACTTCAGCAGTGTCTCCTTCCTTGCTAAAGCTATAATGCAAAGACGTTGCCATTTTCTTCCTTTTTTGCATAACTAAGAGCCACCAGACGTGTTAATTTATTTTAAAAAAAAGGAAGTTGAGCATAGAGACCTTTGAAGAACCATCAATATTTCAGCTGCAAATTAATATGTAAAGAAAGTAGACCCTATTTTTGTTTTTATTATCGAAAATAATATTATATTTGCTCTTAGGAAAGACATCATAACTAAGATATGATGGGGATATCCTTTTTAATCTACCCCCTATTGAGTTACAGTTAGACAAAGAGGACATCATTCTTTAAAATGTACAACATGTCTATTTCCCAGATTTCACCCCCTGAATTCAGACAAATATTAAAGATGTCTGGAGAATGGTTGTCAATCAATTGACTGAGATAAAGGCAAAGGCTGATGGTGTTTTGCTGGTTATATGTTCATGTGGCATACTTGGGTGCTGAAGCAAGAAAAGAATTCCATTTTTGTGTCCTCTAATTTGAAAGTGTTGCTAGTTTTTAGTTAGTAACTGAAATAACTAAATTGGGATGAGGCTATATTGATTGATTGATTTTGTTACCTGAATTTTCTTTTAGTGTTGTCCTTCTTGATAGCCATTTTGTCTTGGACTCTTCTTCTATTCAAGTGAAATTTCTTCTGTTTTTCCTAAATTTTTGAAAAGGAAGTTGGAAAAAATAGAGAACCCTGTTATAAGCTTTTTCCTTGAGATCTTTATCTGCTTTCAGATTTTTTTTTCCATTTATGTTAGAATTTACCAACTATTCATAAAGTAGAGAAAAGATGTATTCATGTGGTATTTCAGGGTCACAAAATAGGATCTATGATCCATATCTACATGGAAAATCTTCCAAGAGAGGTGTTTTGCTACATATTTATTAGTTTATTCAATGTGTACCCTAACTTTGGTGTTGGAAACTATATTTCAATTTTAACTCTTCTGACAATTTTGATTACGGTTTTTGTAGATTTTTTTTAAAAAATATTTTACTTTGCATGCCAAATCAACTAACCTTAGCTTGCATTTTCTTTCATTTTTGAATACAAGGTACAGTACTCAGCTTGTAGAATTAGATGGGCTATTTTATAATAGAGTCAACTTTGAACATTATTCTGGGTTAAAATGCATTACACAAATTACAGTATTACATAATTGCGTGCTGTGAATGTACCTATTTTAAAATCCATGTTTGACATTTTCTAACCCATTTCTGGCCACAAAATCAAGGCTCATTGAACAAATGTGTGGAACCAAATGGTCAAATTAAATAGTTTATGTGCATCAACAGAACCAGATGCACATAAAGGGAATAAAAACAGTAATAGGTCAAAACTATAATAGATTTTATCTAAAGATAGCAAATATCAAATATGAGCAAATATCAGCTATGAGTCTTCTCCACACACCATTTCAGAAATATATTAAAGGAATTCCCAAATGGATACATTTAAAGAATCAGATTATATGGTGTTTTAACTAAAGAAAAATATTGGCTAGAGCCTGAGACAGGGAAGGAATCCAGCTGATTCACATTGCAGTGCAAACTACTTCAAACCTACTTCTGTAAATTCCTCCCTTTTGAACCAATTCTCAAGCCAAAATTCCATTATCCTTAGGATTCACCATTCTTCAAATTTTGCAAAGCAATCCTCAAAATCAAACCTCCACTTATTAATGAAAATGTACAAAATGGAATTCTTAAATGGAAATAACATATATAAAACAGAAACTTGTATATTAGAAAAAATGAGCGGGAAAAAAGTATGAATTTTCATACAAATTATGTCTTAACATTTCAAACTGGTGTGGAAATGGAAGAAACCAGTGAAGCCTGGAAAAATAAGAAGCTGTCAGAAACCAAAACAGAAAGATTAATCAATCTCTGGATGGACCCAACCTAGCTGGGAAATAGGTTTCATGAAATTGTTCATTTCATAGGATTCAGAAAAAATTACCCTGAATATTGGTGGATAAACCAAAAATGTTAGGTGCCAAAGTGCACCCCAAAATTGGATTTAACTCTCTGTGAAAGCACTAATCTGCAAATATATATGGTAGTCTTTTCTTCAGCTTTTAAAGTGCCTGTATATCCCTTATATATTTGTGGATAAACCCATATACAGATAAACAGACCCTTGAATTTTTAATCCAAATATCATTTTAAAAAAAAACACTACTCATAGATAACATATGAAAATTTTGAGTTTGGTTATCTGTGAGTGAGGCCTGTTTAATGTTTAAAGAGCCTTGGTGGCGCAGCAGACTAAAGTGCTGTTAAGTAACACTAGCTGCCTGCAATTACTGCAAGTTCAAATCTCACCAGGCTCAAGGTTGACTCAGCCTTCCATCCTTTCAAGGTAGGTAAAATGAGGACCCGGATTGTGGGGGCAATAAGCTGACTTTGTATAAAAAAAAGAACACCGCTTAGGGGGGGCCGAAAGCCCTACTAAGCAGGTATATGCAAAAGTATGAAGGCTATTGCTTAATGCATTGTAAGCCGCCCTGAGTCTCCGGAGAAGGGCAGCATATAAATCGAACCAATCAATCAATCAATCAATTAATCAATCAATCAATAATGGTATTTGGGTTAAAAAATGAGTGTCAGCTTATCTGCAAATGGGTTTGTCTGCAAGTATATATGTAATATATGTGCCTTGCTCCAATTACTACAATAACACGTTTGGCTCAAAAAGTAGTGCTGATAGGTGAAGAATGTCTTTTGGACGCTTTCCTAAACATTAGTAAAGAAGTTATTTGCTTAACTCCAGCAACTTTAACTTCCTTCACTAAAGAAGAACTGAAATTCTCTGGAATTTCAGTATCTGTCAGTGAAACACAAGCATCTAGTTGTCTTGCAAAACAGACAGTCATCCCAAGTTATGGAAGGTGACAATGAAAGTCTTGGGGAAACAAATTATTTTTATCTGTAGATTCAGGTGAACTATGGGAAAGAAAGGAGGCTCCAGATAACCAATAGAAAAGCAGTGCTTTCTTAGAACACTTTGAATTATGAAATATTAGAGGAGGAAAGAAATTAAACCTATTGTAGAGCTAGGGTTAACCTGTAATGAAGCTTTTACATTATATAGATAGAAAAAATAGGCAGACGTAAGAGTTTGGCATGAGTTTTTTTTTTTATTTATTCACATTTCTATACCGCCCTTCTCCTTTCGGACTCAGGGCGGTGAAGTTAAGTTCAGAGTTAATGAAAACTCCAGTCCTAAATATAACCAAAACCTGGAAATAATCTTTCCCTTGCATTTTAGGATTCTTCCAATAATCCAGAAAATTATTTCTATATTGTTTTCAAGAAAACTCTATGAATGTATCCATTAAGTCACAGGAGCTGAATGTGACTCAAAGGACACTTGATTTTTTTTCCAACTGAACAAAGCTCTCCACTATGAGTTTATAACTTCAAGCTATGAGAGAAGATCACACTTTGAAGAGGCTGAGTGTGGGCTACATTACAGTGTCCTACCAAGTGGGGACTTGATGATTATATGTTCGGTGATGAAGCACTTAGAATATAGAACTTAGAACATAGAATAATAGAAGTTAACATAAAGGGAATATGTTACAAAAATCAAGTGGCCATTATAAAATTTATAATGAAAAAGAGCAACATTTTTCCATAGACTTTAGAGATATTTTGAGCTCACCCATAAGCATTGCTCAATAAATCTTAACGCTGTTGCTTAATTGAGTCTGCAAACACAAAGACATTTCACCCCGGTAAGCAAGGAAGAGATCTGTTTGAAAGGAATATGAGCATCCTTCAAAATATAAATTGGAATCACTTCCAACAAGGTTTCCTGGCAAACACAGGGAGTAATGGAGAATGCTCATAACCCTAACAGTTACAGAACTTCCCTTCCCTGGAAATATAGGAAAATGTATGCTGATTTCACAGTCTCCCATTATTTAACAGATTGCAGAAGTATGCCCCAGACAAAGGACATTAAAATAAATCTGTCCTATGCACGAAAGGACATCCCTTGAGCACAAACTCCAAATAAAGGTAGGTCAAGTTTTGGTTTTTGGAACTTAAGAATATGCTTCACCTATTAGTACCGCAGGAAAATGTTCATGCCATACTTGTTCCTTGCAGGATCACAGAGTGGCTGAAGAAACACAATAAATATTAGGAGCCGTGTTCTCTACTGGATGGGTGAGTTTCACCAGAATATTCGTATTCTCTTTTCCAACTATTAGAGGTTCAGGCAGAACATTATGAATGAAATATCACCAAGGGGGTGAGGGCCTGGAGAACAGAAAATTATCATCTAACTGGAGAGAAGCCATTGTTCCTCATTTCCCAATCCCTATTAAGCATTTAGTCATAAGAGTTTTCCATTGCAGCTTCCATCAAATTTTCATCACTGTCTCCATGTCTGTCATCTCTCTGTAGGCAACCGGGCAGTCATTTAACACCCACAGAAGCAAAGCTGCTTCCCAGCATCAATGTCATGTTCCCACAAGCAAAGCCTATATCATCAGCCGCAATGATTAGAAAGCCAGCTGTTCCTCTTTGAAGTCATTTTTGCCCTCGCTGGGTTCCTTGGCCATTCAGAAAAGGATAACAGACACTGTTGGTGACAAATGCACCATTACTGTGACTGCAACTACAGTGCTGGAGAAACTTTTTCCTGTCCTACAGCTTTTTTGGAAACAAGAACTGTGCGAGGCAGGTACATGACAACCGCATACCTCTCTGATGTTACTGAAGCCCACAATTGGTAAATATCAATAAAGGTGTAGCTACTTTATTTGTGTCTCTGTTGTGATGCTAAGCAGGCAAGGAAATCTCCCTTAGGAATGAAGGACAAATGTCTTCGATTTATTGCC